ATACTTCTCTGATACAATTCAATTCAATTTATTTTATTTTGTATAGCCCATAATCCCAAATTACAATTTTGCCTCAGAGGGCTTTACAGTCTGTACACATACAACATCCTCTGCCCCGAAACCCACCATCGGCACAGGAAAAACTCCAAACCCCAAAAATGAAAAAACCCTTCCAAGAGGGAAAAAAGGGAAGAAACCTTAGGGAGAACGTCAGAGAAGGGATCCCACTCCCGGGATGGACAGACTACAATGGATGCCATGTGTACAGAATGAACAATGTATAATACATGCAATTCCTATGACAGAAATGATTCAAGTAATTGTGAGTAGTAAGCCAGGCGCACAGCAGGACCACTGCAGGGGCAACCACCATCAGATAGAACCACCATCCACAGAAGCCTGTGGGGAGGGAGAGCACAAAGACTTTAGGAGAGGGTAATGTTGGTTTACGAGTACAGTAATATGATTAATATCTAAAATAATAATGATGATCATGATGATCATGATGGCAGCAGCAGGGGTCAGCAGGGCCACGGTAGATGTCAGGACCAGGGTCCCGAAGGAACCACGATCTACGGAGACCTGATAGGGGAGAAAGCACAAAAAAAAAAACTCCCGGAAAGAAGTTGAATTAGTCATGTGCATTAATAAAACATGAATTATTGTAGAACGAGAGCGTGAGGGAGGAGCTCGGTGTGTCCTAAGAATTCCCCCGGCATTCTAAGCCTATAGCAGCTTAACTAAGGGCTGGTCCGGGCTAACCTGAGCCAGCCCTAACTATAGGCAGAATCAAAGAGGAAAGTTTTAAGTTTTACTTTAAAAGAGCTGACCGAATCTGCCCCCCGGACTAAAAGTGGAACCTGGTTCCACAAAAGAGGAGCTTGATAACTGAAGGCTCTGGCCCCCAGCCTACTTTTTAAAACCATAGGAACAACAAGTAACCCAGCATCTATGGAGCGCAGCTGCCTTGTAGGGCAATAAGGTGTTACAAGCTCTTGAAGATACAACGGTGCCTCACCAGCAAGTGCCTTGTAGGTGAGGAGAAGTACCTTAAAATCGATTCTTGATTTAACAGGGAGCCAGTGCAGAGAAGTTAATACATGAGTGATATGATCCCTTTTCTTTGTTCTTGTTAATACACGTGCTGCAGCATTCTGAATCAACTGGAGAGGCTTAAGAGATTTACAAGAGCAGCCTGATAACAAAGAATTACAGTAGTCCAGTCTGGAAGTGACAAACGCATGAACTAATTTTTCTGCATCACTTTGAGACAGGAAGTTCCTGATTTTTTATATGTTACGTAGATGAAAATAGGCAGTCCTTGAAGTCTTCTTTATATACAAGTTGAAGGTCATATCCTGGTCGAAGAGAACTCCCAGATTCCTGAGGGTGCTGCTGGTTACCAGAGCAATTCCATCCATAAAAACTGTATCACGTGACAGCTGGCTTCGAAGGCGCTCTGGGCCTATCAGGATAACTTCCGTTTTTTCTGAGTTTAGCATCAGGAAGTTGCCGGTCATCCAAGTTTTGATGTCTCCAAGACATTCTTGAAGTCTAACTAGCTGGTCCGTCTCTTCTGCCTCGATCGACAGATACAGTTGAGTATCGTCTGCATAACAATGGAAGTTATGCGGTGTTTCCTGATAAGATCGCCCAAAGGAAGCATATAGAGGGTAAATAAAATCGGTCAAAGTACAGAACCTTGTGGGACTCCTTGACCAACATTGGTGGTCTTTGAGGATTCACCTTTTACAAGCACAAACTGGGATCGGTCCGATAAGTAGGATTTAAACCAGCTGAGTGCAGTTCCTTTGATACCAATTAAATGTTCTAGTCTCTGGAACAGGATACAATGGTCTATGGTATCAAATGCGGCACTAAGGTCCAGCAACACAAGAAAAGAGATAAGTCCTTGGTCCAATGCAAGTAGAAGATCATTCGTAATTTTCACCAGTGCTGTTTCTGTACTGTGATGCACTCGAAATCCTGACTGGAAATCCTCGAACAAAGCATTGTTTTGTAGAAAGTCACATAATTGATTTGCGATGGATTTCTCAAGGATCTTAGAGAGGAAGGGAAGATTAGAGATAGGTCTGTAGTTAGCCAACACCTCTGGAGCAAGAGTAGGTTTCTTAAGAAGAGGTTTAATTACAGCTACCTTGAAGGACTGTGGTACATGTCCTGTCAACAAAGACAGAGTCATAATATCTAATAAGGATGTGCTAACTAAAGGAAAAACTTCCTTAAGCAGCTTGATCGGAATCGGATCCAAGAGACAATATTAGACTTTGAAAATAAAGAAGTCAGTTGATCAAGGTTGATGGAAGAGAAGGCATCCAAACAGGCATCAGGGCCCACTGCTGCATCCAAGGTTCCTACATCGGAGGACAGGTCGGCACTGGTTGAAGGCAGGAGACCATCAATTTTCTCTTTGATAGTCAGAATCTTATCATTGAAGAAGTTCATGAAGTGAGGTCCAAAGGAATACACGGCTCGACAGAGCTGTGACTCTCTGTCAGTCGGGCTACAGTGCTGAAGAGAAACCTGGAGTTGTTTTTATTTTTCTCTATTAATGATGAGTAATAAGATGCTCTTGCGTTACGGAGAGCCTTCTTATACGTTTTAAGGTTGTCTTGCCAAACTAGCCTAGATCCTTCTGATTTGGTGGAAAGCCATAATCGTTCAAGTTTCCGCACAGTTTGCTTTAGGTTTAGGTTTAGGTAGGCTTTAGGTACAGTGGTATTGTGCTGTTTCAACGCATCCCAAATCGGGATACAGAGTCACGTCAGGATTCAGAGATGCTCATTCAAGGAATTTAAGAGAAGAAAACAGGCACAAATGTTGGTTTGCAATCCGGCAGTAAACTTGCTGAAATGATTGCCAAAGTTCCTCTTGGCCATACTGGTGTTGAAAGTCCAGCTAAGCAAATGTGATCCAAACAAATGAGCTGTCTTTCTTCTGTAGTTAAACTCCCCTTATACGCAAACCCTCATTTGTGATGCTGCGATGAGCAACCTGAGGTCTAATAAACAAAAATGACGACTGACTAGCTATTTTAAAAACTAATTTCAGAAATTTTAGAGTTAGTATGTTCAAATGTGAATACCTTTAACACGGCAAAATGGAATTCACAAAAAATATAACTAAACAATTAAATAAATAAATGAAATATGATAAATCCAAATGAGAGCTGTCTTTAAAGGTTTACATCATCATTGGGAACCAATTGCAGTCACAGACGGGTATATGAAGTGAGAATGGATTAACACATTGTTGTTGGGATTTTCTGAAAATAAGAAAATGTATATATATATATGATTATTGTCTTTTAACTTAAGAAAGAAAAGAAAACGTTCACTTGCGATTCCCCGGCTTATTTGACCAAGCAAGCTTTTCTCTTATCACAGGAGTGAAATAACTGAATTCACCAACACTGAAGGCCAGAAGCGTCTCAGAGATCTCGTCTTTCTTTGTCTCTCTTGATGCTTCTCCTCCACCACGGCCGCCTTCTTGTCCTTAGGGGAATAACTCAGAGGATCAACATAATCGCAACTCAAACCCCACTTGCCATTTTTAGCAGCTTCCCCCACACTGAGTTGTACTGCTTGTCCGTCCGTGTCATTTTAGTTGAATACATCAAGGCTCACTCCCCTTTACACTGTGGCTCTAATGGGATTTTTTGTCACTTTAAATGAGTATTGCACCCACTGTCTCTTGTAATTGGAATCCTGCTGACACACTCTCTATAAAGTGTTCTAGCACATTATGGTACAAAACAGACAAACAATACAACCCACTCTGTATTCACTCCCCTCACAGCACGAAATACACTCCTCAACAAATTAAGATTAATCCAGGGCTCAGCTGCACGTCTGCTCTCCCATTCCACCAGTGATCACATCACCGCAGTCCACCAAACCCTCCACTGGCTCTCTATACAGCAGAGATTCTACTTTTATATTATATTGTGTCCACATCTCTAAGGACCTCTCTTGGACCCTCAACACCTCATCCCTGGTAAAGAAAGCACACCAGCGTCTCTTCTTCCTGAGGAGACTGAAGAAGGCCCATCTGTCTCCTCAGATTCTAGAGAATTTCTACCGCTGTACCATAGAAAGCATCCTTACAAACTGCATCTCCGTATGGTATGGCAGCTGCTCTGTCGCGGACCGTAAATCACTGCAGAGGGTGGTGAAAACTGCCCAACGCATCACCGGTTCCTCACTCCATTGAGACTGTCCAGAGCAAGAGATGTCTGCAGAGGGCACCCAAGCCACAGACTGTTTGCCCTCCTCCCCTCTAGGAGGCGCTACAGGGTGCTTTATTCACTTATTACACTTTACATATGCACATACTCTGCACTTTTTGCTATTTTGCACTCTGGTTGGATGTTAAACTGCATTTCGTTGCATCAGTACTTGTACCCCGTGCAATGACAATAAAGTTGAATCTAATCTAATCTAATCTAATATTTGATTGGAAATCCTACTTAGAAAGTGTTTGCTAGAGATTAAGTTGTATTGTCTTTGTCTTCTTAGTTGATATAGCAGAACGTAAAACATATGTACGTCCCAAAATCTTTGGGATATAACCAAAGAGTTTCATAAAAATCTGATTAACGTCTAACAGATTCCATTTTAATGCTCCATTGTTATAATACTGTAGTTACATATTATGTTATTTTTCAGATGCTTTTATTTGGTCACTTCACTCAGTAGAGTAGAGAATTCGCTATAATCAAATGTTGCTGACGTTGAACCACATGTTATTTATAATAGTATATATTTATAATATATATCATTTCAGAGAAACTTTTGGTCCCTAAACCCACATTTATTGTTATGTACCAGGGATACAAACAGGTTATCAATGTTTTAGTCACATTTAGGTACATTTTTACAACACTCACGTGAAATAGTAGTCTATGATTTACTATAATAAATTATTGTTATTATTATTATTACAACACATACTAGAAGCATCCGCTGATGAGAAGGTTCAAAGTTCACGCAGAGGCTTACTGCGCATGCGTCTAAAATGGTGGCATTACCCCCAACAACTCGGGAAGTTGTGAGATTATCATCATAATTTTATCAAGCAAAATGGGTTGTTGACTCTGGGACTTGTGAAAACGTTACACAGAGAGAATATCCTACTAAAACAGAAGCGGCATCATGACAGCTAACGAGGATCAAGAGGTATGAATGAGTGACGGTGCAGTAGTGGGCTAGCTGCCGTTAGCGGCTAACCGCTAACTAACGTTAGGTACTAGCGTGACTGCTAGCATATTAGCGTCAGTCCAGGCGGATCGGTTTAGTTGGCATTATTCTCGTTACACAGCCAAACAAGTCAACGTTTTATTTGAAGTGAAAGAGCTCCACTTGGAGGGTCCACGACTCGTTAAGCAGCTTTGCGCATGACGGGAGTAAATGGCAAACCAAACTCCATTCAAAAGTATGCCAAGTACGTGCAACGTAAACCTCGAATCAATACATTTTTTTTAACATCATGTCGTTGGATCCATCCAGTGTAACTTCTCTGTTGAGCAGCAAAGCATTACACCGATTAGATGCCGCTGCTCGATCTTATCAGTTTGGCATCATAACAGAACACTAATAACGTGGCGTTAAGTTAGAAGATGGATTCAACACGTGAAGTTGTCTTGAGGTTCACACGTTTACCCAACTTATTACCACATCGTCATTATCCCGTGAAAGGTCTTCGGGCGTGGTTCAACCTGCATACCCCTGTTAGATTTACAGATCATTTACAATATTGTCGGGTGGACGCTGTCTCACATTCTGCCGCTCATAAGATCACCGACTAAATGTTCCATGCGATTTGCCTCCTTCACACACAGATGGAGCTGGAGGCTCTTCGCTCCATCTATGAGGGGGATGAGTGTTTCAAGGAAATCAGTTCGGTGTCCTTTCAGTTTAGGGTGAGTACTGTCCCCCTGTACTGTCTCTGTGCTGTGCCCCTGTATTGTCCTCTATGCTGTGCCCCTGTACTGTCCTCTGTATACCTTCTCTTACCTTCTACTTTAATGTTATACAACAGATAGGAGCGCTTGAAGACAAAAATGCGTTCATCCTGGACCTCACCTGGCCTGAGATGTACCCTGAGACGGCCCCGCAAATCTCCTTGGATGCTTTTTTCAACAACAGAATGTAAGTCAAAGGAAACTGACTTTATTATTAATATTATATTGGTAAGCCTTGGTTTACATTTGGAAAATCTGATGGCAGATTGACTGACATTAAAATCTGGACACACCAGAGTGTTGTCGGGTTCTTTTGAATTTTGAAAATTGTTGCAGTTTGTCAGTACAACAACCACAATCTTATCATCATCAAATCATGCTGATTTCACAACAGCTCTGCAGAGACAAAGCAGCTGATCCTGTCAAAGCTGGAGGAGCAAGTGGAGGCCAACCTGGGCACCGCCATGATGTATACACTGTTTGAGTGGGCCAAGGAGAACCAGGAGTCCCTCATGGAGAACCACAAGCCTGTAGTCACCGCTGTGGTTCGTATGCTTCATCCCTCAGAACAAATACAGCAGTACCGTTTTAATTGACATATTAAGTACTTTAGACATACAAGAAATTGGACATGGCGGTTGGTGCATAACAGTGGACAGTAAGACAATGAGACACTGGACAACAAGACAAATAACACAGTGCAGGAGACATTACATTTTTATAAATTTCATCATTGGTGTGAGACATCTTCTTTGCTGGTTTGCTGCTGTTTTTTCTTCCTTTTATCAAGTTCGAAGAGCCATGTAATTGAATGATTGTCGAACCAAAAACCAGAGTCCTCAGACAAAAACACTTGTGGTTGCAGACATCCAGCAGCGACGCGACGTCTGCCACATCAACAGCCAAGAAGAGGGAAAAGAAGGAGCACCTGACTAAATCTCAGAAGAGGAAGATTATCAGCAAAACAGGTACAACAGCCTGTCTTTCCTTACAACAGAAGTGGGTGGTTCTACAAACACCATTGCTTTTTGTATTGAAACATTTGTACTAAAGAGTATTAATCACCCCATCCTGCTACAGTTTTCATTTTATGGAGCTGATATCTTTCAACGGCGTTGATGTCCTTTTACACTAGCCAGAAAATGTGGATATAACGTTGCTGGATTTAAAATACTTTAAAAATTATCTTTTTTTCAATTGTTTTTGAGGAAGGAAAAGCACTTACCAGTTTGCTAAACCTCAGTCATACATTAGAGGAGATATTTGTGGTACACCCTTAAGCCTAGTTTATGCTTCTGCGTTTTCAGAGCGACGCAGACGCAAGACCCCCTTGCGTGTCCCTTGCGTCGCTTTTCACACCTCCTTGCGTCCTTGCGTGTGTCGACCCATTTTTCGAAAGCGACGCAAGCCTCCCGCAGCGCACAAGGCTGCGATTGGTCTGCTAACTACGTCCTTTACAGAGTCTCACATTTCCGCTTTCATAGCACAATACCGCCATTATTAAAATGAAGAATGTTTACGAGAGAACGGTCAGATTGAAGAACGGAAGAAATGCGTAAATATGACCACTTATACAAGCAGTCATTTGCGCACTATAAGGACGCACGGATGGCCTCTAATTCATGGAGGGAGATCTCCGAGGGGAACAAAGTTGTGGAGGAAAATACGGGACAAATGTGTCCACGATGAAAAGCAGCTGTGGCGATGCACGGGGCAATAAAGTCTATGATAAATAAACAAATCAACGACTTCCACAAACAAAGACGTGACTCTAGGTCGTCTTTGACAAAAAATGTTACTCCAACTGTTGTTCTGGTGGTGAATTACTCTGCAACACACACAAGACTTTTAGAACCATGAATTGAAACAAGTGCGTCGACTCAACGACGCAGAAGCATGCGGGAGCCTTTAAACATAACTGTACAATCAGAGTGGACCGACTGTTTCTGTATTTCCAACAGTGTGATACGTTGTCTCCCTAACATATCACAACCTGCAGTAATTCATCATGACATATTTGATGTCTGTGAAACATGGTTGTTTTTAGCCAATTGATGACATGTCCTCATGACTTCTTCTTTCAGATAACAAAGGAGAATTGCCAAGAGGTTGGAACTGGATTGATGTTATCAAAGTAGGTGACTTTTACCTTCTCTTTAAGTTTCAAGCCTACAGTGATGTTCATCATGAACCTTTTTTATTAATTTGTCTTTCTCCCCTTTGTCACCTCTGCGGGATGATCCTCCAGCATGTAAGTGAAAACTATCTGAATAACACCATTTTTGAGGTCCCTCACACGATGCCATATCTCACTATTTTCACGTTTCTCGTTGCAGCTGAGCAGAACGGGAGGAAAAGACGATGAATAGGCCCGAGAGCAGCTGTCTGGTGCTGCTTTATACTAGGAAGCCTAGTGAAGACTGAACTCAGAGCAACCTGGTCTGCTCCTGCAAGACGCTTTCCCATCGTTCATCTTCAACATTTAACACTCAACATGGTTGCCGTCCCCTTGAGAAGCAAAGCAGGCTGTGTCAAGGTGGACTTCAGGACTCTCTCTCTCTCACATACACACACACATACAGTTCCAGCCACACTTAATGTGTTCGTGGGATGCAGCCAGGTGAAGAGGAACACATCATCGGCTTTTGTTGCGCACACAGCGCTTGGATATTCTGCTCACTCCATCAGTCTCAAATGAGGCCCTGGCATGTCAAGCACGTCAGCTAAATAGCTGTGGTTTAAACGAATATGTCAAAGTGCAAAGAAATTGTTAACGGCAGGTAAACTTTTTTTGGACAAATGTTTTCTTTCCTGATTACAGTTTTATTTGGAAAATGTAATTTATATATGTATGGATATATATATATATATATAAATATACAAATGAAAAGCTAATTGGTCTAATTTTTGTCTGATCATTTAATTTACATGGAGGAGAATGGGATTAATTGAGTAGTGCAGCGGCAGGTTAGTATTTAAGCCTCCCTTTTGTTTTTAGAGTTACAAACTTTGCTCTCCAGTCGTGAAAGCTCTCGGCAAAACTCACTTGTACTTACTTTATCCTCAGGTAAAATCCATCTAGACAAACAGCTCTGGAACCATGTACTATTCATCCAATCCGTTTGGAAGTGATGAGAAACAGGTAGGCACAGAATTTAGGTACAATAGAAGGTTTAGAGGAATAGAATAGACATGTTGTTGGTCTTTTATTTTCAAAGCTTATTAAATTGGACGCCACTGAGGTAAATCGATAAAATATTGTTTGGAGAGCACAATAATTGGTAGCTGAACATAACTGCTGGAATACACTACGTGTTGATGTGATGCTGACCACAGCTTAAAGAATAATTTAAAATCCTAAGCATAACTGCTGACCAAAGTGTATATGTGTGTATATAACAATAACCAATATTGTAAATAACCAATATTATTCTGCATCAAGGTAAATGTGTGTGGCTGAAAAATGGCTATGTATGTCTATGCAATAAGGAACATGTAATTGAGGCAGGAGACAGTTTCCTTGTTACACTGTCGTAATTATTATTTGCGTTTAAGTTTATCCCATTTAAAAAAAAAAATCTGAATGTGTTACTGCACGCTGTGCCTTTAACTCTCTGGAGCTTTGCCAATATCTCTCTTTAGTGGTTGTGTGATGGTATGTGGACCAATAACAAGCTTGTTGCACAGAAGAATAAAGTAAGGATTTGATCCTTTTCACAGTAAATCAGGTTTTAATTGTCAATAATTCATTCTGAAAACTCGTTTTATTGAGGCTGTGCAACAATGGATTATTGTTAACATATATGAGATTATATAGACATGTTATTTATGTATTAAGCATGTAATCATTTCTGTATTTCATACAAGCTTTTTAAAAAAGTCATTAGTAAAATGAACAGCTTTTGTATTGCAGAGGGAAAGAGACCCTACCACCTTTACACAGTGGCCCACAGTAAATTAAACTATGAACGACCAAGTCAACCATTAATAACATGAACAGAAATCCTCTTAAGTCTCACTGAGCAGTTTTTCAAAGGTTGTTCTTTATCTTATTTTCAGTTCGGTGTAGGTGGCTGAATCAGACAGCGGTGTGGTAAAAATGACAAACATTGAGAAAAGTCTCAGGTTATTTTAATCAGGTGTTGTTGGTTATAGAAGAACCAATATCCAAGATCTCATTGACGATGTTTGGTTGACGCGGGGATAATAATTAGATATTATCCTGTGGGCCAAAAATAATTATCTTTGTGTCAGAGTTTCCATGGTGTACTTTTTTGTTATTTAATTTTGATTTTGCAGGGTTTTGCAACAAAAGAGTACAAGGAATAATGCACTCTAATTACTTTTATAGTAATTTATAACAGACAAAATAATTAAAACAAATCCTCCATTTCATTATCATTTAAAAGCATATCCCTAAAAATGTTAAACATTTTAATCCATAAAAAGTCCAATCCAAAAATTCATGTCTGAAAAATTCTTCACTCTTCCTCTACTTATGTACAGAAGTGTATGGGTATATTTCCAAGTAGATCACTGACTGGTCGATATGTGCGATGCATTGAGTGGGCAACGCGCCGTGTATTAAGTGGGCCGTTCTGACAGTGACTCCCCGGACACATTTTTGCAACACTTTATAAATATGATGAGGGAAACTAGCCGAAACAGTTTGTCTTTCACAACTGCTGTACACAATGGCAGGCACTGCCTATTTTTAAACTATGACAGGGTTGTGGTGTGAGACTCACACTTGCCAGGAATCGGATGATAGAAATTCATTCCTCAAAACAGATACAAAAAAAGCTAAACAGGACAAAGAGGAAGACAAGGAAAACTTCACAGGGAGAAGAACACACATCCCAAACAAATCCAAAGTGGATATCAGAGCAATGCCATCCAGAGGAACTATTACCTATTAAGACTTCAAATGCGCTCCGGGCCTAATAAAATAACCTTTGTTTAGTCTGTGTTTAACATCAGGAAGTTGCTGGTCATCCAGGGTTTGCTGTCCTTAAGACATGCTTTAAGTCTAACGAGCTGGCTGGTCTCGCCTGGCTTGATCGATGGATATAATCAAGTATCGTCTGCATAACAACGAATGTTTATGCAGTGTTTTCCGATAACATTGCCGAAAGGATATATATATATATATAAAATGTGAATCAAATTGGTACAAGCACAAAACCCTGAGGAACTCCACGTGCTGTTTCTGTGCTATGATGCACTCTAAATCCGAAAATCCTCACACAAACTATTGTTATGAAGAAAGTCACATAAACTCATTTGCGACTGAGATCTCAAGTATCTTAGAGAGGAAGGGAAGATTAGGTAGGTAAGGTTAGCTGGTCACCTGGAACCTGGAGACAGGATCACAAGCACATGAATGAATGTTGTCGGCAATAGTAAAGTGACTACTACTAATAATGATGGTAAGGACAGTATCAGTGGACGATAGACGGGGCCACAGCAGGAACAACCACCGTCCAGAATGAACCGCCATCAGATAGAACCCCCATGCACAAAAACCTTTAAGGGGGGAAAGCACAAAGACGGCAACAAAGAAGCCAATCAGTAATGTCTGTTTACGATGACAGTAATAGTAATTTGACTAATAGTAATGGCCCAAATAGAACCATGACCAATAGCAACCTGTGAGGAGAGAAAGCACCCCGTGGAAGAAACAAAGTTAGTGATGTGCATTAATGTTGGCAGTAATACTAATGTGACTGTAAATGAAATCTTGATGTGAATTGTACAGCAGACTGAACAGTTCAGGCTGCGCATAAACCTTGTTGCATATGTCATGACAGAGAAACGACAACTGAACGGTAACTGAATGACTATACTTTGTTTTAATGAATATAAAAAGACATTTACACAATAGTGATAGTGAAAACACGGAGTCCACAAACATGACATCCTATTCCAGTGTCCCATCAACAATCATGTCCTTGATTAAATATCATCTCTTGTAAACATATTACATCTGTAGGTTATTCTCTACAAGCCATTAATGTATAGAGAGACACTGATTTCAACTTAATTGCGTGCTATTAAGAAAGTTAAAATTAAGGGTGGGGGAGGGGGGTGTTGATTGGCCATACCTGCAGTACCACCCTGTAAGAAATGGATAACCAAAGGGTTATTACATCTATTTAATTCAATCAAAATAAAAAATGAAACGTGGCACAAAGCAAAACACTGGAGGAAGATGGCAGCTTCAGGCTGATGGCTCCTTCCGCAGCTGGACTCCCTACAGACTATAGCACATTTTAGCCAGAGGGAACAATCAGGGATGTAACAGCAAAAGTTCAAATCACAACTTCCTCCAAGTCCTTGATCAATTATAAGCGCTGCTACTAACGGTGTTCGATTGTGCTCTTACAACATCACGAGTACTGTTATCAGCTACGGCTGATGGACCCTCAGACTGAAGTCGCGTCATTACCTGGACCTGCGGTCTTTTCTGTTTTTGTCCAGGCTTTTGTCCATGGTCTTTTCGTTGTCCCCTCTGCATTTAGGGCAGTACCACTTGCCCTTGGGCTTGTAGGTCAGCCCCACGCAGGAGAAGTGAAACCACTCAATGGGGCACTGGTCGTTGTCGCAGCCGATCATCTCACCGTACGATACCTGCTCGCAGAGGCAGTAGGTGGGCTCATTGGGGTCGATGGCAAAGTCGACCGGTGAGGCGTCCCGCTCCTGTTTGGCCTTGCGCTTTTTCTTCTTCGCAGACTTTGACTTCTTCTCTCGCGGCGGAGGGATGGGCAGCTCCTCCATTGGGTCGTCCACCACCGAGCCATTGCCCGACCGGTGGCTGGAAGTCGCGGCTCTCGCTGTTGCGCTGGCGTCGCGGCGACGGGCGGATGTGCGTTCGGGAGCCGAGGAGTCTTGGACACTGGTACGCCGCTCCGTCGTGAGCCGCTCAGCCTCGCTGGGCTCCTGGAGGCAGATGGAGTGAGAGTCCATCTGGCGGGAGCGGTTCTCCACAAGCTCCGTCATCTGGGTCACCACGTGGATCTTCTCGTCGCCCAGCTCCTGGCTGATGATGAGCGCCCTCTGCAACTGGATCTGCAGGCGCTTTCTCTGAGCTGCATCCTGTTCACTCTTGTACTTCTCAAACACTTCATCCACTTCCTTCAGCACCTCTGCAAAGTGGAATGCAAAGATGTGTATTTAACAACACTGCAGATAAATCAAATGTCTAATAATGTATACAATAACAAATCTTCTCTTGTTCCTAGACAGAATGATGTTTGTGCGTTCAAAAGGAGAGGTTCTCTGTGCTCTCTTTGTATGAACCAAAAGGGATGTTATGGCACATTAAAGTCTGGTATGCAACTGACTTTTTATAAGGGAATTGAGGATTACTGACCAGAAGGGGACAGTAATGCAACTGCTTTAAACCCCCAGAGAACGAAGAAGGGGGCGGGCTGATCCGCCTACGGGAAATGACGTATGTAAACTGTGGAGAGGGGTTGCCTAGACGAGCAGCTATCCGACTCTGCGATTCTCACTCGACGGAGCAGAGTGGAGACGCGGTTTCATCGCTCGAAGACGTTTAATCTCCCTTCAAAATGTCCATATGCAATGGGTCCTTCACGTTATCGGTACAAATCGTTGTCCGTCGACGGGTGTCGTGGAACGTATTGGTAACGAAGGATAGTTGTTTGCCGCTGCTAAGCCTGCGGTCGACATAAAAGCCAAATGTGGACTCTTTTTTTTCATTTAAAAAACACGGCAGTGTATGTTCACCATGGTTCTCCGGCAATGATTCACACCTCAAAGAACACCGTGTATTATCTTCTTCACGTCGTTTCTCTAAAGTCTGGGCTACGGCAAATATCGTGCACACAAAGCAGCGTTGTATTCCGATAAATGCCTTGTTTAGTCGCTGTTATTCTGCTATTCAGACCTCCACGGAAACACGGCGGTGGGCAGCAGCACCTGTTAAAAGTTGAGATTTTATTATCTTTCAGTGCTTGTTTTGTCCTTATGTTGATGCCGAATGTGCTATTGAACAACGAGTACTCGACACAGATCGGGTATCTGGTCATAATGCCGGCGTACGTTTGTTGAGAGAAAGAAATAATGAATATCGGAATTTTCTCATTGGGTTTGGTGTAGCAAACAAAACGTTCCAGAGCGTATCCGGGCTGTGCCAACTGACAGTTGGCGGACTCTTCCATTTAAAGATTGGCTCATCTGTGTAATTGTCCACAATACAGCCAGTCACATTATTGTTGTTCGAAGCAACGTTAGATATTTGAACAAGCGGCGCTCGGTTTTTGCAAAATGGGAACACAAGGCTCGCGCCTGCTCCACCATCTCAGCACACCTTGCTAGATTTGCAGTTAATGTTAGCGAATTGTACACACGCAGTGCTAATGAATGACAAAAACACGTAAACACAATACCTTGATACTTTGCATCAATTTCCCGAAGCAGAGAAACATTTCTTTGTATGTCCAAAGGCAGGGACTCCACACATTCCAGATAATCCTCCACATAGTTGACCAGTTGTTGCGACTTGTCGGCATTTGGGTAGTGGTGGCCTAACATCGTCTTTACGATGCATAGAGGCACGAAACGAATATGGGGGAAATGGGAAAATATATACAGTGAGTCTAATGCTTGGCGACTTTGCAGCTCGTAGGGCAGTCCCAGGCAGCAGTTCACTTCAAACAAAACTCAAGCCACTGCGCATGCGGGAGTATTTTCCTTTTTTGGTATTGTACAGTTTCCTCTTATTTGTCGTCATCGAAGGCGGGTCCAATTGGGATTGCAATTGGATTGGCAGAGAGTGTCTCATTATCATAACAGCTTTCCCGGGAAAATAAACTAAAGCGGAAACTGAATACACAGAGTTGCCGTAGTTAGACTGTGACCTAATTTATTTTTTAACATTAGGGCAGAACGGCGTGTTTTTATGAACTTATTTTTTAATCTTTAATGACCTCTCTGTATTTTGGTGGTGTTGTTGCTATTTTCTTTTAACACAAACCTTTATCTAAACATGTCAGCACAATAAAGGCTATAGCAATACATTATTTCATTTCCAAAAGGCAGAGGGATTTAAGAGATATATGCAAATAAAGAATATGAAGTTGCTTACGCTGATATATTGGGGCTTTCATCAAAAACATCCGCTGTACATTGGTCAGAAGGTTGAGGCAACAACACGCCTCACAATATGGCTGCAGATGTCAGACGCGCTCATAAAAGCGTGTCACTGGACCACCTGCTAGTGAGTATGTGTGTGCGTGTGTGTTTAAGGAAACCAATTGTTTCCTCTTTCTGTGTCACATGATGTCGGTAAATATCCTCAGTGTTCTGTTAAATTCTCACTGCAACACGAAGCCTCAAAATATTATTACTCTAAATGTATACTTGTCTACTGCCAACAGCACTGGTTGCATTCTTTAACTTTTATCCTACTTTTAGTGTCACTTGCACTGCAACTTCTTCTGCACTACTACGTTTTCACCACTGCAATAATACGTTCCATCAGTATGCTTCTAGTACCCTGATTAATTATACTGTATTGTTGCAGTATAACTAATCGTGGTACTAGAGACGCGGCTGCCACTTTTGCACCACTATTACGACAACAAATAACTAGAGTATTCTACTAGGCCCAGTACTATTGCGACAGCTACTATGACCACTGCTTGCTATTCTGCCACCCTGGTGGTGGAAGCACATTTACTTGCACTTTAGTACAATTATGAGCTACTCATACTTTGCTTCAGTATTTCTGAACTTCTGCTGATGTTACTTCTGGTGGTTGCATCGAGTCATGATACATGTAAATTAGTGCTGAATGACAGGAAAAGAAATCACATGTAAGAAGTCACGGGGGAAATTGGACAAGGGGTGAAGTTTCGTTTCGTTCTGGTGGACAACACCACGCGACATTTCGCTGCTTTTTTAGGCAGCGACTTCCTTCTAGTGCGCCGTAACTTTCGTTTCCTGAGATGTCAAACGCTATCAGTACGCACGTTTAAAAGAGACACCCACTTCAGTCAATACTAGCAGTTCCGGTTAGGGCTTTCAAAATAGAAATATGTTAAATGTTAACTCTGCTTATTATAGGCTATTCTCATGCTCGTGTAACACCAGGAACAATTTGTGATCCCTCTTTAACGAGGAGATATCTTGAAAACCAAAGGCCTTTATTTAAAAAGGAATCATGTTAAATGCTAACATATACTGTGACTTTATTGTAATTCATATATGTTTTAATGACTTAATCATTGCCAAATGTGTAGTTTAATAAAACATGATGACTTAAAATACTCAAAACCCCCATCCAAGCCACTTTTTAGATATTACAGCTCAAATTAACACATTACAATTTGAATGAATCCTGACACTTTCAAGGTGCTTTTAATGTACAAATGGGAAAGTATTGTGATCCTTATTTTCTTAATTTACAGATTTAAACCATCTAAAACGTAACCATAATCCATGCAGTAATACCATGCAGGTAATACCATGTTGGTAATACCCGAAGACTAGGAAAAAGAGGGTTCGATTTTTTTAAAATATATTATTTACACATATTATTAACTGATATAATTTTAATGGAATTTGGAGAACGCTTGAATAAATAAAAAAATAAGATATCTGTTGATTTAAATTTTGATTTGATTTGTAATTTTGTCGATTCCCCGTGGTTCACCGACTCTACCTAATAACATGTTTTTCTCTGTCACTTGAGGATACGTTTCCGGTGATGCTGTTGCTCTCTGTCAGCTTGACGCTGCTCATGTGCGGACACGCAGCGCAGTTGTCGCACTTTGAGCTGCGGGCATAAGAAGAGCACCAGTGACCGAAGATCCGCAGTCTGCACCTGTCACCAAGATGAAGCACGCTGTGGTTTTCACCCTGGTAGTCTGCTTGGCTTTCGCAGGTAAAACTCCTACTCGGACAACTAAATGCAAGTTGATCAAGACTTATACTGTACCGTTGTTATCTTGTAAATAAGTGATGCATAATCAACTGTTGCTTCACGTAATCACTTATGTTAGAACGTTGTCATTCTAAATGACCAGATGCAACTTGTATGTGGGAGTGTTGCTGTGACCAGGTCACTCTGCTCCGTGTTGTCTTTGCTCGTTTAAGAGACGGGACAGGAGGGTTTTTATTACTTCATGACTGTGACTTCCTGGATAGTTAAGGGAACAAAAATGTCCGCAGTCTTTCGACGGTGTTCCAGCTCTGAGTCACATGTCTGCCTGCAGAAGAGCGCTGTCGTTTATTAGAGGACAAAATGAATCTGCAACTTGGTTGAAGCCCAACTCTGCAGGATATTAGATTTACATTTAACATTTGTTTTTTGGGGATTGTTTTATTAGTAATGATTCCTAAGAGCAATTAAGTCAAACCAACTTAACGAAAATACATGTATCATGTTATCGTGGAATATGTTTTTAGAGATAATTATACAATGCGATTTGTGTTCCCTCTGGTGGTTGTTTACCTAATGACTGGAGGCTGAGCATGATCAGCCCATTTTGCACTTCTAAAAGCCAACCAAGCCGAAATATGTAACTTCAATAAACAAGTCCTGAACTTGCAGACAAGATGTGTGGAAAACTCATCACTAAGTGTAATAAATGTGTCCGTGGCCTTGTGTACTTAAATTTGCCAATACCAGTTGACTTGATCAAATGTGTAGCAGAATTAGCTAACAAAAATAGCTGCTCACAGTTCAAAGATTAGCAGTTTTGATAACAAACATATCTTAAGTAATTTTCATAATAACAATGAGTGGAAGCTTGTGTAATGTGAACGTGAATACACTTTTATGAACAAACTTCCATCTCCTTGAAGTACAGCTATGTGGTTCTTTTAGCCTGTTAAGCTAATTGTTTTGGTTTTACAGCTGAGTTTTAGCACAGCATCAGCTACATTCCCAGCAGCCAGAGACCGTGTGTTTTTTCAAGTTAGCAATAAGCTGGTAAAAAATACCTAGTACCTAAAGAAGAATAATACTTTTTTTATCCAAACCAAAGCTAAAAGGAGAACATTGAACGAATCCAAATAAACAATCGTCTTGCTCTCAGCCTGCTAGCTGGGTACATAGGTAATTGCTTTGTATATTTATCCACCCCGGAATTGATTTGTTTCTAACTCTTTGTCTGAAGCACTGTCATGG